CATTTTGTGCAGTATTCAGTATAAATCTGATCTTGATCCTTGTTGAGGTCTCAGGCTATTCCAATGTAAATGACACTGTAGCTTTGACCAGAAGACCTAAGCACAAAGGCCAGCTGAACTTCACGATTGCAGTCATGTTGGGAGGCCTTTCCCCACCTTAATCACCAGTGCTACATGTAGCCCAGGTCAGCAATGGCCAATCCTACTCTCCAAGCGTTGGTGAAGACTTAAGTCGCATTGGTTCCAGCTGCACAAATGTCTACATTGCAAACTCTCCTCATAACTACTTTCTGGCTCTGTTAAACTCCTGCTTTGGTTGGTCTCATTAGAAATGCCAGGGAGACTAAACCTTCCTTTTCTACTACTACCTGTGACCTCCCTCAGTAGGGAGACTCCCAAGCCAAGGCTACAGGGGGGGATGTGTGTGCACATACTTTATCTTTCTGAGGTAAATGGACATGTAGTTATCCAATCTTAGGAGTACCACATTCCCTGAAATGCCTATATGACTTTTTCACTGCATTCTTTGATGATGTGACTGAAACAACAAACTACCTCTATTTATAAAATATAAACCCTGGTGTAGATGCTCATCATCAAGCACTTCATGACCTAGGTCATGGGTTCCCAGACTGAGATCCACTGAGCTTGATGGTCTTATTAAAGAAGGTACATGAAACAATATAATTTTGGTGATACTGTCTTAGTATTAACTCCCCTAGTTAAAAGAAGCATAACAATTCAGTCAGGCCTCTGATGTTACTGGGCTAGAAATTTACTTTTTAACATAAATAGGCCCATCTCCATCTGTTTGTTGAGGGTTGTTCATCTGTTCTTGCCAGCTGCTCCGAGTCTTTCTGGATGGGGCTGGGCAAATCTAATAATAGCTGTAATAATGGTATTGTGAGAACATAAGAACTGCCTTTTACTGGGTTGGACCATAGGTCCCTTTTGCCCAGTCTCCTGCATCACATAGTGGCAGGGAGTGGATGCTAAAAGAAAGGGAACTGGGCCTGACCAGGGTTGTTTCCCCCCCTTGCTTTTCCTCCCTCACTTACACCTCCAGCATTTAAGGTTCTGATTCAGAGAGTGTATCCTTCACTCTCATGCTCAATAGCTACTGGTGCCCCTTTCCTCCAAGCATTTGTCCAATCCCTTTTTTAATTTGGTGGCAAAGAGTTCCACACTTTGATTCCATGCAGTGTGAAAAAAAGAGCTTCCTTTTGTTGGTTTTAAACTAACTACTGGCTTCATTGTGTGACCCCTTGTTCTTGTGAGAGAGCTAGAAAATAATAAATCCCTATTGACTTTTTCTACTATTTAGAATTTGGTAAACCCTTATCATGTTCCCCCTCAAGCATCAATACCACCCATCAATGAGCCTCAGTAGAGATCATCCTTGAATCCAGGGATTGCTGGCAAGTGTCTCTTCTAAACCAAACAGGTCTCACCTCTTTAGCTTCTCCTATGGAAGAGCCTGCATGCCATACATCATCCTTGCTGCCCAAGTGTACATGGGATGTAGCTGGAATAGTCCAGAAATTATCCTGGAGGCAGGGATGTTGTAGGGTGGGGTGTGTTACGTGACCAGCAGTGGCTCTGGTATAGGGTTAGATAAACCTTCAAACACAAGATTGGCTTAGTGCCTGAAAACATTGTCAAAAAAGGAAACAAAATGTTGGGATTATTAGGAAGGGAATTGTAAACGCAACTGAAAGGATTCTCATGGCCCTTTATAAATCATGGTGTGTCCACGTCTTGAATACTGTGCCCAGTTCTGGTTTCTTCACCTCAGAAAGCAGATAAAAGAACTAGAGAAGGTCCAAAGAAGCACAACAAGGATGATGAGTAGTATGGAGGCTCTTCCATGTGAGGAGAGACTAAAGAGACTAGGCCTATTCAGTTTAGAAAAGGGATGCTTGCAGGGGAACATGAGAAGGGTTTCCAAAATACTAAACGGCAAAGAAAAAGTAAATAGGGATTATTATTTACTCTCTTACAAGAACAAGGGTCACAAAACGAAACTAATAGGTAGTTGATTTAGACCTAAGAAAAGGAAGTTGTCAGGGACTCGAACCCCAACTTCCCAGGTCTGTTGTCTGACCGCAAGAGACAGGCAACAAGAGCAAGGTCTTATCTCAAAGCTCTTTATTGAAGTATGCATACAACAACAGAGAGTAGCCCATCTCCTCCAAGAACCAGCCCCCCTTTGATAACAAGTAAGCAAGTTTATATAGACAGTTTTGCGTCACAGATTTTACACTTAATTGACTCAACCTCTATGGTTAGTTAAAACTTTTAGTGCACATGACACGATACGCGTGCAGGTGGGAATTTCCCAAGATATCAGGTTAGCATGAGAAAATTCTTAATTAGTTTAAACTGGCTTTTGGCTATATGCTTGTTTTGAAATGTTAAGTAATAGGGAGGAGGACGGTATCTTTGATTGTTCCAGCTGTGTCTTTGAAGCACTAAGTCTGCTCTGTAGATAATTCCTATACTATTATCTATGGTCTTGTTAATTTTTATGACGACACAATAATAGGCTTTGAGCAGTTCTTACACAGAAGCATCTTCCTTATCATCAAACATGCAACTTTCTTTTCAGCACTGTTACTTATGCTAGTGGGTTCAAGGTAGGTTCAGTTTGTACCATCCCCGTTTATCAGCTCACATTCCAATGTCATACTGCATAGAGAGAGCTTATAATTATCCTGTTTGTGGCTTCTTAGTAGTATTTTTCTTTGTGGGCTTTTGGGCCTGCTCTCAAATATCATATATCTCAAAGTTATTATCCACGCAGCCTGGAATTCAGGCGCAGAGCTCATGGCCACCAGATGTTGTGGAAGCTGCCAGTTTAGCTAGATTCAAAAAGGGATTGGACACATTTCTGGAGGAAAGGGACAATTGAGCATGGGAGGCAGAGAGACAAGCTCTGAATTGGAATGTCCGAGGCCTTAAATGATGGAGGCTGCAAGTGAGAAAGGAACAGCTGAGGAAAAAAACCCTGATCAGACCCAGCTCCCACTCCCTGCCACTGCATGACACAGATACAGCTGTTTTGTGGGGGTTTTGGTACTGAGAGACTAGTCACCCAAGCCATACAAGGTGTGACCCTGGTGCTTCAGTGCATAGACCATGTCCATGGTGGTCATGCTTTTGCACTTGGTGTGTGCAGTGGAGGTGATGGCAGTGTGGATCATGGTCTCCAAGAATACCTTCAGCCCCACACACGTCCTCTCACAGATGAGGCCAGAGGTGTGGTTCATGCTGCCATGGCAGATGCCTGACTTGGTGTTGCTGCAGGGCACTTTGCAGCGGCGCGTGGCACTGCCTTTCCCCAGCCTCTTGCCCATGGCCAGATGTGGTGGAGGCCTAGGCAAGGGGGACTTGTGCCTAGGTCTGACCCCAAGTGTCCACTTCACAAACAGTCCAATGATTCAATCTGGGGAGTGCCTCTGGCATCCTATATTTCCTCCACACTTGGAGACCTCTCAGCTTCTTGGCCTATCAGATTTTAAAGTTTCTTTCAACCTTTGGAGCATCACAAGCTAGAACAAAGCAAGACTCCGCCCCTCTACGCAGGCTCTTTTAAGCACGTGTCACCAGCATTTCACAGAAGGGGAGGCTGGTGGTCCTGCCTGACCCGTGCCAGCTGGCGCTGGTCTGTGCTGTGTAGTGCGGAGCTTAAGCTGCGCGGGCAGGGCCCGGCCTGGACGTCCCTGCCCGCCTGCTTCCTCATGACCCCGCGCTCCGGCCCGCGGCCCATGGCCGTGCGGTTCTCCTTTCCTCGGCCCTGCCCCCGGCCTTGCCTGCTTGAGCGCTATCCCAGCTGCACGGCGAGGCTGACTGAGGCGCCGCCGCGGGGGAGGCGCTCAGCGGGCGGGAGACTACAGGTCCCGGCAGGCCGCGCTCCGCAGCCGCGGCGAGGGCTGGGCGG